CCGCTGATTTTTTTTTCCCCCCCCCAATTAATGTCTTCTGCAGCAGCATGGGCTTTTTTGGTTTTAATTTCTTGCCAAACAGTCTGGAGCTTTTGGGGCATAATATAAATAACAGACGTGAGACTTCAGACAGACCCACTTTATGACAACTTTCTTACCCCATATGGGAAAGAAACTTTCAGGTCCTGTACAGAGTCAGTTCCAGAATTTCATGGAATCTCTGCATTGGTGGGCAAAACCCTAACGATTTACGGGAAGGATGAAAAAAAGACCAAACCAAGAGGAAGAAAATGGACTTTACACAAGAGGTAACTTCAAACAACTTCACAGTTCTCCACAGATAGAGCAGCTGTAGGTTCCTGTTACCAGTGCCAGCAGAAGAATGGGAAGCATCAATCAAATTACCTAATAACGGTGGTACCAGCTGCACTAAGAAGAGATTAGTAACAATTCTGCAAGCATGTCTCTGATTCACTGCCAGTAAGAGGATAGGAACAATCTTCCAAATAACACAAACCGAACAAATCCCAAAATATTTATTTGTTCCCATCTTTTGCTTAGTTAGGAATCAAACTACATGTAGAAGCTATTAAGGTTGGCTCTGGGCTAAAGGAAATTCTGATTGTCCTTCCCTGCTATCTTTTAAGCCGGCTGTGGTGGGATATACATCTGGGAGTCAGGCAGGGTTTGGGGCGGTTTTGCTGTTTCCACTGCAACTGTTTTGCGAGAGCATTGGGGTGGAGAAACCTGAGTCTGAAAACCTACAAACTGCCACTGCATGTAACCTCTCCTCCTGCCTCTTCTTAGCAGTAGTGAATATTTTCTGAGTTTTGATTAAATCTGCGATAGTTGACTTTCATAACATTACCTGTCAACATCTTCCACCTGTCAGAGGAGCTTTCTTTGAATTACCACATGGAAACGACGTGGTTTGGGTGACAGACTGGAAGAGGAAACTGTTAGTTGGCTGGTTCCTCAACAATCCCCAGTTCTTTTTAAGGATTTGCAAAGTATATAAACTAGAGGAAGAAACAGCACTGAAACACAGAGGGGATTAATTAGTTTGGGGTTTTTTAGTCTAATTTAAACATCCTTTTAGCAGTTGGATGTTAATTTTTTGTAGTCTGGGGTTCATCAGGCATAGCACTTCCTTTGCTGAGCAGCAAGCTAAGCTTATTCCCACGTTATTCCCATTCCATCAGTTGGAAAAAGTTTAATTTTTGATCATCCCTGAACCCTTTCCTGCAAGCTGGCAGGAGGCGAGTAGGCTGGTTCCTCATTTACGTGCTGCCAGGGGGCTGCTGGGCTCAGTCTGCTCACTCATTGTCATCCCTGGGCTGTACTCTAACCGCCAGCACCCTGAGACGAGACCGAGGTTCTCCTGGATCCGTGCCTCGTGCTGTGCAGGACCCCGAGCACCTCCTCAGCCTCCGTGCAGAGCCTCTCCACCCTCTGCTCAGCTGTCTGGGCTCTCAACCGCCCCACTGGGGGCTGCCAGCCACATGAGCGATCCTTCCTTTGGGCCAAAGGGGCAGAGCGATCCAGTAACCACCACATCAACAGGAGCTGTCGGTGGGAAATCCTTCACACATACTGGGTTTATTCATGTTTCAAACGGCTCTTTAAAAACAAGCCCGCTTGCCTGTAAGGCATTCCGGTCTGGTTGATGGATAACAGGGACAGGACTTCACTGATTCTTACCAGAGGCACGGAACCGGTTTGCGTGGACTTGTTATCACGCAAACAAGACAAAGCGTGCCCCACCGAACACTGTGCCAGTCTCGAGTCAGAGAGTGCCATCCGCACGAACCTTCCAGCTGTTTGTGCAAAAGCCCTTAGAGTCCTCGAAGGAGAGGACTCTCTTTGACATACATACTCCCTCTCCTCTTCCTCACTCCTTCTTACAAAAAACTTATAAAATTGCCGGGCATAGAGGCAAAACTGTTTCTGCCAGATCAGCTTCATTTCCTATAACGTGTTTTAACCACGTGGATTTTCTGTGCTTATTTAAAGGAAAAAAACATACTATTGTATAAGCTGTACAGGGAAATATTTGGGCAAGAGCTGCAGAGATAAGCACACACTGGACAATGCTTTCAAATCCTCAGATTAACAAAAACTGGCTTGGAAACCCTTTTTAATTTGTCAAACTCAGTCTTCGTTGGTGCTGCCACGGGCAGCAAAAACATTAGTCTGTTAAACTCCAGGGAAAAAGTTAACTCTCTCCGGGTGCCTCCCCACCCTCGTAGAGAGCACGAAGGACACAGAAGAGCTAGTGCGATGCCATAAGCAGAAAGGTTTTGAAAGACTAAAACACTGACCTTTTGGAAGAAGGCAAGCCCGCAAAACAACACATGCATTAGTCATAATCAAAATATTGTACATAATACAGCTTCCCAAGGGATTTGGCTTTGTTTCAGAGCCACCAGGGTTCAGCGTCAAGTACAAGACTGTTTACTCACCTGGATGCGAGGAACACGGCGTGAGGTGGAGACTCCGCACCACAGACCCACGAAGCCGAAAGGGACCTCAAAAGATCACTTGGTTCCCCCTTCGCCAAAAGGAGCCGCTTTACCAGCGCCATCTCCAACACGTTCTTCCCTAACCCGTTCTTAAAGGTCTCCAACAACGGAGGCGTCGCACGCGCTCCGGCAAGCTGTCCCTAACCCCACGAAGCTTGATGCAGTTGAAGCCCACGACTGTGTGATCCATTTATCCTGAGCAGTGGGAACAAGGCTCCTTTAAAGCACCCGTTTACAAATCCGAAGAACATGATGTCTCCCCTTCCCTCCAACTCAACACCATGGCTCCAACTCAACACCGTGGCTCTTTCAGCCTTTCACTGGTCGCCCAAGGCCTCCAATCGTTCCTCCCCCTCCTCTCTATGCTCCTTCGAGTTTGCATCTGCCCCGAGGTGCAGCACCCTAAACGACATTGCCCTCCCGCCTCACCCCACAGCCGTGGGCAGAGCTGGGTGTTGTCACATACATCACAGGCTGTTCCCATTCATGCCCACCGGCATCACAGCACCTTTTCCTACACGAGGACGCGATCCACCAGGACATTCTTACGTCTTCCTTTCCACACCAAACTCCGCTCACGCTTGCTCCATCAGCACACCGTTACTCCAGGCTAGGCACTGCTCCTTATGCGTTTGCGTGACTTGACGGAAGTGGCGTTTTGCTGAGCACGGAGCGTCGATCGGAAACTGCAGCAAAGTACATGACAACCACCTGATAATTCAATCTGTTTGACCAATCAACATTATCCTGGCAATTAAAAGGCGTGCCCGAACTTCCCCAAAGGTAACTGCAAGCGGCTACACTTCTGCCAGCCAGCGCTGTAGGAATCAAGTTAACGGACCCGTCCCTAAACACAGAAAGAGGCCTGAACTTGGGAAAACCTGCTGCAGAGGCAGAGCTTTGTGTTCTTGCTCCTGGAACAGGTATGCCAAGCCCAACAGCCTTTTCCTCCTGTACCCTTGTAGGTACTGAAGTGACGGAAAGCCTTTTGACAGAAGCCCAGGGTAACGAGAGCCAGGTTGCACTAGAAGGGAATAAAGTACCACCATGCTGCCAAGGTGCCTTCCGAACACCCGCAACAGCTTCCACACCTTGGCAGAAAGTACTGGAGAGGGCAGGTCACTCAAGAACACCAACAGCTCCTCCGCTGCCGCTCCACACCAAGAGCTCTTCTCCAGCCCGCACCCCGGGAAGCGTTAATCGCAGCGCATCGAATCATCTCGGAGGACTCCTAGACCCACCCAGGCTGGGTTTAGGCTGGCAGCCAGCATGCAGACAGAGTTTAGCGTGCCGTGTTTAGTGTACATACATACGCACACGTTTGTGTAACCAGCACGAGCTACACTTCCATTGCTATTTACAGCTTACCATCTCTGCACTCCAAACACGGTGCGAGTCAAACCAAGGGGTAGGGTACCATGGCCGTATCCAACATCATCTCTGCTTGTACTTGACTTCAGGAAGGTCCACATGCTACCCACGGTAGCGAGCAGTGGTGTTTCAGCGTGGTTCTTGATCCTCATTTACCCTAGGACTAAGCCCCATACCAAACAGGAAAACCACCAGGGTACACCCAGACAGCCCACCATGGCGGCACAATCTAAACCGAAGGGTTAGGCCTGGCTCATCACCAGCCTACAACCGCCTGGAGCGAGACGCTGCGTTTGCCTTCGCTCAGGAGAGCGGTGTCCATGGGACTGCTGCCGAGAACAGAAAGCAGCACCTTAGCCTGGCAAATTCGCATTCCAGCTCACTCGGATCGCTCTGCAGGGCACCAGCATCTTCCCATCTCACCACTTACGCGAGGCTCATTTAAGAAGAAAACAAACAGTACCGGTCACTTTGTAAAGTGTTTATTCAAAAGCTTCATAGCACCATCTTGGGTTGGTTTGTTTGTTTGTTTTTCAAACATCCAAATAAAATGCAGCAATTAAAGCTTGTTTTTTTCTCTTGAGAATGACACTAACTCCACCTGTGATGAGATTTACGGTTGTTCTGGCTAATATAACTGACAAAGAGCGCTCCTGTGCACACAGACATAGCACTGGGCCGTGACACGGGTCATCCAGCCCTAGCTCAGTACTGGAAGAATAAAACCAAGTTAAACTGGAAACCTCAACAAATCAGTTCCCCCACCCCCCACCCCCGATTATGCCGGAAGAGAACATTTTTCTGAAGGCAATTTTTAGCAGTTTCAATTCTCATGTCCCCTCCAAGACTTCAGCAAAACTAAAAACGTAAATAGGCAAAATATTTTGGGCATTCCCCTCTGGTAGAAGGGAGACAACGGATAGTGAATTTGCAAGTCTCTTGATGTATTTTGTTCTAACAATCACCTAGCTGTTAATTCCTAACAAGGGCCCTTTATGGCCTCTTTCCTAAGGAAAGATGGTTCAAAATAATTCTACCGAGTGGCCACACTGATTTTAATTAAAAATTTAAGGTAAAATCATGCTGCCATTGACAGCGCTTGTAACATTTCATTATGAGCTTGTTCCTTTCCCCTTTTTAGTTTTGCGGAATAGTCGGAGAGCTTTTTTTCAGCCAGGTCACTAAAGCGCTTTTCCCCAAATCCTTAACTTACAGCTGAAGAAAACAGACCGCGCCAAGTGCTTGGTCACGTTATCATTTGGCTATGGCTTCCGACCACTGGAGTTCTCTATTGCATCTACTTCTGGTTGACCGTTAGGAGGCAAATACTCTGGAGTTCACTTGGCTAAAGCCCCCATAGGGTCCCAAGCTGGCAAAACGATGGGTTCTTGCTGCATCACTGCCAAGACGTCTTCTGGTACGTGCTTCTTATCCACCACCACTTCGTACACGTACTCCGAGAACCAGTCATCGGTCATGATCAGGTAACCTGGGGATGAGAAGAGTGGATTACGAGAGACCCGTTACCAACCCAGGGAAGCAGTCACACACTTCACCCGTGAACGGCACGTTCCAAATGGGACCTGCTCGTACTTCGGGTCTCTCAAGGCCAAGAAAAACACTTTTCTTTTAGCATACTAAAAGAAATTAACACCCAGGGTAACCGGATGTACTTTGTGTGCATGGAAAGACCAACCAAGACACCTGCCAGGAAAAACAAGACCCAGAATATTCATCATTGCTGCTTCCTCTGTTGAAACAGGCACTGGGAATGCTCAAGTGAGTTATGATGCCTTAAAAAAAAGGCATTTAAGGCAGAGTGAAAAGTTACCCAAGTCTCTGGCTTTTGAAGTTTTCAAGATTGTGTTGAGAAGGGAAATTCTCCAGGTGAGCAAAGCCACCTCTGCCATAAGAGAGCTTTGCTGGTTCAGTTCTCACAGTGAGAGGAGCCCCCCTGCTTTCCTCAAACGTAAACCCATCTAATCACACCTGGGCTGAGCTGAACCTTCACCTTCTCCCCATTACGATTCCTGCAAAGAAGTTCAGTAGCAGCCTTTAACCGGAGGGGAAAGTCACGCTTACAGCACCACAGGTTTTAGCAGAAAGCTGCTACTGGAAACAAACTGTTCAAGGTGCAAACTGCAAACAGCAGTGGCTGGGAGAAAGCAAGCCTTTAGGAGACAGATGAGGCAGCTTTATGTAATAAAGTTCCTCATGTCCTTATACAGTATCATCACACAATCAAATGAAACAAGAAAATGTCCAAAGAATATGGACAATAAATGCATCTATCTACACCATCTTGTTTCTAAAGCAAGAGATCAGATAATTCCCATAAATTAAAAACCCTATCAATTGTAATCCGAGCTAGAGGCCGGTTTGGAAACACTGCCAAAGGGAGCTGCCTTGATTATTCTCTCTTCAGGATATGAGTTCTTGGGACACACAAAAACCTCTCACTCCCAAGAGCCAACAAGTAATTGCACCCCGAGAGGATAATGAACTCAGCTTCTGACATCCTGTATCTCAGAGCTTGACAGTGCTGATTAGGATCACAGTGTCTGAACAAGAAGGGAACGTCAAGCAGGACTTCAGAACACGCAGATGACGACGGTGGCTCTTTGAGCGGGCCTGTGCCCAGCCTCGCAACGGAACCCGTTATCAACCTCTTCGGTGAAAGGAGACACGTACGTTATAGGCAGCGGTACGTCGACCCGAGAGCCGGCCAAAGGCAGCCCCGAGCTCTGCACTCGCCCAGGGAACAGGCAGCAGTGCAACACAACACCTCCCTGCACTCTGGGCAGGTACACAGCCGAGTTCTACCCCCGGAATTAATCTGCTGCTGCTACTCCAACCACCTACGTGTTGAGGCCAGAACAGGGACAAGAACTTGCAACAGCATCATCCTGTTGTAACATAACACAGCCCCTGACTCCTCTGGGCCTGAGGCTGGTCCACGTCTCTCACCTACCCAAAGGCAAACCTGAACATGCAGCATTTTAAAACCGACAAGCTGCTGCCCAGGGACAGGCCAGTCGGGGGTGAACGGCCTGCGAGTTACTGCATGCCCTGGGATTTGGGCACCTGGAAACAGCACCCTTGAGAGCTCCCAAAGGGCCTGGTACAAAGCACTTTGGGCTGTGCTGGAACCCCTCCGGAGGGAGAGCGGATGAACAGAGCCCTTCCGTTGTAGGGTACTTGTGGGATGACACGTGCACAAACACAAATCCAGACGCCGGCAGTCAAACCCATAATGCGTCTTCACGCAGAGGAGTCCGCAAGCAGCAGCCAGAACAAGAGATTAAAGCAGTCAAAAGGGAGCTGACTGCTGGCTGGAGACACATCACAACAGCGTGCTGCTGCTAAACCGAGCAGAGGGACTCCTGTCACAAGGATGTGACAACGTGATTTAGTGCCCCCACTTTGAAAGACACCCGATGGGCTGAGCCGGGTTCAGTCAGGGAACCGTGTACCGTGTCTCCAGAGCAAAGGCGTAAGCACGATAACTTAACTTGCCTGTGTGCCTGACAAAACGCCAGTGAAACACAGAAAGGAAATATTTCACTGGGAAGCGACTTTTTTTACTCCCAAAACAAGCCGTGTTTGTCAGCAGCTGTGTTCATTCCTTGAGGAAAAACAGACAGGATTCCAAGAAACTCTTCTACAACAGATACGAATGCAATTACTAAATATTTGGGAGACGCGATGCTAGGCGGTTCCCAGGGCTTCCCTTTCTCCGGGACAAGCACGACCACAAGAATTCGGTTCTGCCCGCTCCGTGCGGTGTGAGCATATAAATAACTCCACTCCGTAATACCCAAACCAGGAGTCAGGGTCTTTCCAGCCCTCCAGCATGCAAGTCGGGGGAAGCTTGTTATCTGGCACCTCGGGCCGCGCACAGAGCAGCCCACATGAACACACACTTCCTTGTACCCTTTACCATCCCACCCAAGAGATAATGGAGTTGGGCTGTATCCCCCACACCCAACTGGGATTTGCCAAGTTTAACATCATTCTTGGCTGCCTCTTTACTGAGGTGGATTCTGGTTCTCTGCACAGGACTGATCCAAGCAGCTTCCCAATTCCTTAACGAGGCAGGATTAAAACAGCATCACTGCCAGCCAGACTTGGTGGCACAGCAAGAGAGCTAGGACAGCATGCACATCCATACCCTGCTACAGCAGCTAGTGCTGGACACGGAGGAGCGAAGGAGAGCAGGAGGAAGGGGGGGATACCCTGTCAAGTTATCTCTGATGTTTGAGAGCTCCAAAGGGTACAACCAGCTGCCTTGAGCTCAACAGTGGGTTGTTGGGTCACAGCTAAGAAAAACATTCAGGAATTCACCTCCCTGGAAAAAGGGTCTGAAATAGAGTCAAGCTTTCTAGTTCTGATGGGATTTTCTGTCAAGGCACTTTTCCAGACAACTCCCTCACCAAAACAAAATGTGGACAGTGAGCAAGACTTTCCAGGGTCACCACCAGTACAGAACAGACCAGTGACAGTGACTCAGGCAGCCAAGGGCGTACAGTCCACGCATACAAGGTATGAGCAGGGTTCATTCAAATAACACTGGGGTCCGACCGCATTTCAGAGGGACAGCTACTCCTCTCCAACAGCTCTAGAGGGACTTGTGCTTGAGAAGTCCAACCGTGTTTGGAAAAGAAATAGTGTCTAAGGAGGGTAAAGCGTGGCTGCAAACCAGGTAGCAAGTTAAGCTTACAAAGCTGGCAAACAACTTCAAAGTCCCCAAGAAGACTGGGTAACTGGGTTAAACTGGTGTTATTTCTAACTTAAAGCCTGAGGCACTACACTTCATTTCTATTTGCTGTATTTTATTTGTTCAGCCTGGAGCAGAGAAGCTCCAGGGAGACCTTAGAGCCCCTTCCAGGGCCTATGGGGGCTACAAGAAAGCTGGGTGGGGGTGGTTTACAAGTGCAGGGAGTGACAGGACAAGGGGTAATGGGTTTAAACAGAGAGAGATTGAGATGGGACATCAGGAAGAAATTCTTCCCAGAGAGGGTGGGGAGGCACTGGGACAGGTTGCCCAGAGAAGCTGTGGATGCCCCATCCCTGGAAGTGTCCAAGGCCAGGCTGGATGAGGCTTGGAGCAACCTGGTCTATGGAAGGTGTCCCTGCCCATGGCAGGGGGTGGGACTGGGGGGGCTTTAAGGTCCCTCCCAACCCAAACCAGTCTGTGATTCCATGATTTTAAGTTATGTGCTCAAAATGAAGCAAGCAAAGACACATGCAGCTCTCCACACACACCGATCCCAGCCTCGCAGCTCCCTCAGAGCACTCCCTGACGCTCCAGCCCAGGGCCACCAGCACAGAACTGCCGCTGTTCGGTCACAGCTCAACAGGTACAACTTCTACTGGCAGCGTCAGGTTTCGTTCTCCCGCGCTGTAGTCTGGGAGTAACAGCCAATATCCTGAAATCGAGCCCAGTCTTCCTCCAGCTCTAGGACAGACCAACTCTGAACCGGTGCCAAGGAGCATATATGACTAGCAGGAAGCTGACAGACACCTATTAGCTTCCCAGCGTTTGGAGCCCTAACCAAAGCCCACGCTCAGCGGTTGTAAAGCCAGCTGAGTAAGGCACTTGCTTCCTGGAAGCGTTCCTCTACCACCAGCAGCATCTAACATCACAAACCAGGCATCTGGAGCATCTCAGTGTTCTGACAGTAGGAGCACGACTAACCAGGCCTCCTTATATTTCATACTCTATTACACACAAAGGTGCTTAAAATAGTCTGCATTTGGAGACAAGAAGTGTTCTGATGTTGCTTTTTAGTACTGATTTGGCTTCTTTAGTTAATCCAACATTCCAAAGTACATTTTACTACTGTCACACTGATGAGGCTGAGCATCACCAGCTTCATCATCAAGACTAATGATTTTTATTGGAATGCTTTGCTGTGAACGTATGCAGCCGACTCGGAGCAGGCACTACTGCAGGACCACGGGGCCGGAACACAAACTAAGACACCATTCCAAGAATATTCTACAGTTTAGCTAGCTGTTGTACAAGATACCAAAAGCTTATGAGTAAGACCACATCTTAAAACAGAGTTTTCCAGAAATAGTCTATTCCCAGAAGAAAACCCAGACATCCTGGGAAATCTTAGCCATAGCAGATCTTGTGAGCACAACATTTGGGATTAATGTGCCACAAAAAAATGTGGTCAGCAATGACTGTTGTGTTATGCCCTGGGACACAGTGAAGGCTGGCTTGGCACGCTCATCACCAAGTTTATCGTGGCATGGCTGAGCCCACATCCGGCCCCTCTCCATAGGGCAGGACAGCAGCCATGGAGTTGCCCTCCATCCCACTGAGGCAAAGCTGGCTAACCACAGGCCTTGGCAGAGCAAAGCCGAAACGCTCTCACCCCACAGCCCCACTCATCTAGGGCCAGGGAGGTCCAAGCTCCCCCGCAGACCAGCACCTCCCGTCATCCCCAACTAAGGGGTGAAGCAACTGGAAGCAAGTCTCCTACACCAGCGCTCAGCCGTGACTCCCCGTTTTGTCAGCACTGCCTGCCCACGTGCCGCGCCTGCTCACCCACCCCCTACAGCCCCCCAGCGCTGGCAAATCCCCCCTAAAGGGACCAACACGCGGGCCGAGGCAGTCACCAACAGGAGAGCAAGCTCCTGCAGAAAGCCTGGCACGTGCCGAGCTGCGCATCCCTGGATTGTTGCTGCTAGTGCCTGTCACACCAGAGAGGAGCACTGCCAGGATGCCACAGGTCTGTGCCTTCAGCACGTCTTCGCAAAGGCAACCCTAACTACCGTTTCTCACTCTCTCTCCCGGACAGGCGCAGGAGCTGCAGCAGTTTACACGGCGGCGGCTGAGAGCAACTGGCACCAGCCGTACCCTCAGTTCCTCCTGGGCAAAACCGGCACGTGAACACCCGCAGTGATGGGGACATGGTGCTTGGAAGGCAAATAAGCCACTCGTGAAGATTACAGTCGGTACCAACCAGCGTGAGGTCCCAGCGATGGGACAGCCCTACCGCACAGACTGACTCCTGTTACCTTTAGCACACTTCCAAGCATTGCAGACGAGTCTTCCTGCTCCCCTAGCAGATGGAGGAGGCATCTCCACGTGGCGTGCTTTGTGGAAGGGATCCCATCTTATCTGATGCCACGAAGCATTTCTTATCTATTGCCCCTCTATTAAAGGATGGTTTGCATACCCACTGGAATTCTCAGTATTTCAGAAGAGAAGCACTGCCGTATTTTCAGACTAACATTACCACATTCTTCAGACTAGTGTCCTGCAGCAGAGGAATACGAGCAACAAACCAGCAAAGGCCCCACTCTCCTGCTACCACACAAGCCGGTGGATTGTCTTGACAGGGAAACAGCTGGCGATTTATTTGTGACGAACAGCAAGCTGCTACGCAACACTTCGGAAACGAGCGGCTTTACAGCAATGAACTAATCAACCTTAAAAAGTTAATTTAAAATTTATTACTTTAAATGCTTCATTATATGAACTTCAGATACGTGTTTCTGGAATTCCTTTGATAAGCCTTGCTACTCACAGCAGGCCCTGAACTCATGGTGCACTCTGCAACTACCGGTACTAAGTGTGCCCTGACAGGCTGTCACTCAAGCTCTCACAGAGAGAGAGTAACCATTAAGTAACCTGGCTAATGGCCAGTCTGAACCCATTTGATCTGGTGACAGAAGTCTACCAGCATCTTCCCATCACCTCCCACACCCTACACAAGCAGAGTGGCTGTGGGACTGACCAGCTGCAGTGTAAGCACAGTGTCCCCCATGTTGTTAAGCTACACTGATACCCACTTCCGGCCTCCCCAGGGGCTTTGCCAACTGTGTCCTCCTGCCTTCAGGGCTGTCCGTGGCCATCACTTATGGCCACCTCCCAAAAAATGCAGTTGTCTCTACAGCTGAGCTTGCAACCAGTGTCAAGTTTATCCAGTGGCATTTCCTGCTTCTCCATTCCACGCTGACATTCGATTTACTTGGACGTAAATCACATTTAATGAGGAATTTGTCTTCCCAGAACACAGTGCCCTAGCTCGGTGATCCCCATGCTGCTGGCAGGCTTGTTCCCTGCATATCCTGGTGGTGGACACACAGCACATCCCCTCCCGATTTCCAAACGCTAAGTTCAGCTTTCTGTTCCCGTGACTAGAAATTACCTTTATTACCACGGTCTTCACCCCAGGAGTTTTCCACTCTCCATTTTTCAAACGCCTCTTCTTGCCCATCCTGTGACAAAACAAGTCAATGGCTATTCAGTCGTGAAGGACCATGTGAGTTTAGAGCAACCACCCCTGCCAAGCCTAAACCCAGCACCAAACCACGCGGCTCCGCTCCCAAAAGCCTACAGGCACTGGCATGTTTCAGACAAAGGTTCCTTGCTGACGGCTGGAGAAGTGTCATTTTCCAAAGCAGTTACCTACCCGCTTGCGTGAGAAATAAGGGAACGTGGTCTAGAGCCTGCAGTAACTAAATATTTGAACCAGGGAACTGAACTAAATTCAAGTTTGGACTTGACTGACTGCACTTGAGCAGCCTCCCCATCGCCCGTCGGGACATGGGGGCCTTCCGAAATGCAGAATGCGCAACATGCTGGGACAGGAGTCAGGAAAGGAACGAGGAAGCACCTGTAGTAGTTTAGAGCCGTATTCGTAATGTGCAAACGGGATGGATCTAACAATACAGCTCCAAAGCAGGGTCTCTGAAAGACTTAAGTGGCTTCTGAGGAGCAGGAAGCGCATTCTACTGCGGGATCGGAA